GGGTGCGTGAACTTGTTCAATCTGTCGTAGCGGTTGGAAACAGATAAAGGGTGGTCAAAATAAGACCTGGTATGAGGGTATAAAACCTTAGCCAGGAGACTAGGTCACATAGGCCTCGTTAGGCTCCCTGGCTGGGGACCTCGGGATGATGGTCACCAATGGTTGGCTACACTGAGTGATATGGCTGGGTGTCGCAAACAGTGGCACTGCTGCATCCACTCGTTATTCTCCTAACACTACTCTATATGAATTCCCCATCTTCCGCTTGAATTTCCTTCGACATTCCAATCTTCATTTTGCTCTTTTATCCATAAGGGCAACCAAAAGACAGCAACCAAAGCCTGTTAAAACTGAACTCCACTGAACAGCTTATTAGATTCGGTCATCGCGACATTGCGAAGGTGAGCCTAAAACACCAAAAATGTATTTGGTTCTCAATGAAAAAAAACCTAAAGTGTTATAGATACTGACCGTTTAGCCCATCTGATTAGTCAAATGAATTTAAGTACAGGACAATCACGATCTTTAACTTCGTGATAATCGCGTCAAAACGTCTCTCACCTCACAATGAAATGGACATATCGATCCATTATGAGAAAATACTTCTCATGTTTTATTATCAGAATGTTTTACCTTGTGAGCATAGTACCAGATGAAGATATCTGCATATATTCTCTGATGGGAAAGGGAAAACTTTAGAGCTGACAATGATTTAAGCTACTGCTCACGTGTGAAATCTCGTGATGCCGAAAAATTGGAAAAATATTATCAAATATCGAGAATCTTATACAAGACAGAACTGTATAAGAAAATCGCAATATGACTGGATAATTGTGTTGATAAAGTTAGTTCATTAGAACTGACCAGTCAATGGTGTGGATGTCAATTCAAAGAAATCTCTTCATTATTTGTGTCATGCATAACCTGGGTACACCTTTCATGTGTTCAGTTAAACCACAAACGTCTTCTTTTTCCCACTGTTCACGCCAAGTCACGTCAGTCGTGATTCAGTCTAGTATTGTTTGACTCCAGTCGCGGTTTTGCTAGATTAGAACGATAATCGGTGCACGTCAATGCGATTTAATACAAATTATGCCACGTAACGAATCGAGCACAACAATCTGTTTCATTAACAATACATACTGTTAAAAATCACTGAACTCGAGTTTCTTTCCAGTTTGAGCTCGTTACTAATACCAGTAATAGTAGTAGTAGTGTTATATTCCGAAAAGGCGGTGCTGGTCGAGG